TATATCTCAGATATTATAGAAGCTTTCATGTTATAGTTTTAGTTGCATGGATGAAAAATATAGTCCCTTATTTAGACATTAAATATTTACATATTAGAAAGCATGCAAGCGGTTTATAAACGTACCTAATATCTGCAGGTATATATGCTATATTATTGAATCTTCTTATGCAGTATGTTCTCAACAAAAAATATTTAAAACTGGTAGGAAATCAATTTAAAATGGATTTAATTTGTATATACCAGTACCACGAGTAAATCCTATTTACGTTTGAAAAATGTGTGTAGAATAATAGAGTGTCGTCCTAAGCTTGAAGAAACTCCAATAACTTATTGAGTATAGGAATTTTAAAACGCCTGGTTCAGAAAATATTCTCCTTTTTTTTAAAGTTATAAAAGCTTTACTTTCAAAATTATAGTAAGTATTATGTTAGTAAATAAAAATAAGGGAGTTAGAACATCCAAAAACTGTTTAGATTTAACAAATATTTTTAATTATTATACGAGTATTCGCATTAAAGATTGATTTGTTTGTGTTTATTTGAAGAGATTATAACGGTTGATTATTTATTAATTCTTCTGTGACAAAAAAGCCGCTTGCCTGCGCTTCGAACAATGCTAACAGGATGCTAAAACATTATTAGTATTATTTCTTATAATGTCTTTTAATTACCTAGTATAAGGGTATAATGATCTCCATCATCTAATGGTTTCAAATTCTATAACTGCCGCAGACTGAAGCTGCTTGCTTTATGACTCTATCACTTGTTAGCTGATTGCTGCGCAACTCACATTTACTTTTCTAAATCTTTTCCTTCACTTGTTAGCTGATTGCTGTGCAACTTCTATTCACTTTTCTAAAATATGGAAACTAGCATTTTGTTAAGTCAGCTTTAAAGTATGGGGGAGAAGCCTTTGAAAATAGAACTTTTTTGTGGGCTTGTCCCTTAACCTGTTCGCTAAAAATAATTGTTACTGCTGTCCACTTTTTGCTTCCAAAACTGATTTGCTGTTTTCTGCACAGTATCAGTTGTGGCTCAGTACCACATTTTAGTCTAAAAATAGTTATAATTCATGATAGCCATCAGCATGTTATTAATTATTTGCAAACTAATTAGCGTAATTGACAACGTGGTGGTGAGCACTGGTCAGGGAGCAGATCTCATCTCTTAAATTCATAAAGCGGCCAGCGTTGAATATTTTATATGGCTGCGAATCAGTACGAATATAGGATTGTCAACGATGCATAAATCAAATTTTTCATCAGCAACAGTGGAGTTTGAAAATAATGCGTAATTGTAATCGATGGACGTGTTAGTTTAATTAAAATGTTTACGTGTGCGCACACATTAAAGCCAAACTGTTTGTAATTTGTTGTTGCCTTTAAATTGTTTTTAGCTTGAGTTGCTATTTAACTCTTTTGATTTGTGTATACAATATACCATATACATATACAATATACTATATATACTTATATACTTATATACGAGTATATAAATTCATATTTAGATACAAAGAAAACACCGAGTTTAATTTTTAGTTAGTTGGTTTGGTTTTTTAGTTTAACAACATGCATGCCGTCTTTTGTTGTTATTGTTGTTGTTTGGTTTGGTTTGAATTTGTTGCATTTTTTTAGGGTGTTGGTTGGTTTTGTTGTTGTTGTTGATGTTGCTTTTTTAATTCAGATGCTCAAAACTTTTATGACATGTACCCAGCAAAAAATATTTCAAACATAATCTGTAATAGATACATATTACATATTATTATTATTAGTAGCGACACACACACACACATAGGCACACCAAGTTGGTTGGTGGGTTGCAAAAAGGAGGGTGGAAAAAAACAAATTGCATAATTTTGGAACAGAAATTCAAATGTAATTGCCAATAACATGGGAATGGGAGAAACATTGATTGGCAGTATTGAATAAATATTGTTTTTATGCAAATCAATATTAATTAAAAACATATTATATCCATATGCATTATTTTAGCTGCGATTGCCATTTTCTGCTCTGGGCATTCAAATGTTTTGCTCTCTTTTTGTGGTTATTAATTTGTGATAAATAGTTTGCTTTATAAACTTGTTTATTTGATGAAGTCTGCAAATTACTAATAAAGATAGATCGCATTAATTAAAAACTACTATTAGCTTGCTAAATCCAATAAGCTTTTTTAAATGGTCACAATAACTTGTAATTGTCTTTCTCTTCTCATTAATAATTGTAGAAATTATTCGTCAAGGAAGGGGCACTCTTAAAAGAGTTTGGACGTATTCTCTGCTGCCTGATCACAAATATTTGTTTTCATATACAAGTACCAATATAAAGTTGGAAAATGCATGAGAATTTAACAATATTTGTTCAATTAAATTGAAATAATTGTAACTTTCTCGCATGGTTTTAGGAATATTGTTTTAACCAGAGAGCCAAGATAGAGATCCTTTAGCTTAATAAAAAATGCTTAAAATTTGGTGGCACAATTGAATTCTGCATCTCAAAATACAAATTCTATTTATCTCCATCTATCTTCCTTCGCTTCCTTTAATTTTTTTAAGCGACAGGACTGCTTCTAACTCAACATTGCTAGTAGCTGCTGTAAGAATTAATCGTTTACCAAACTTTATAATTGAATTGGAAAATAAAGGAAGCCTTCAGCAGCATTGCTACTTTTTAAATTAAATGATTCTGAAATATTTTGTCTATATACTCATTTTAATTTATGAGTAGAAAAAGAACAGCAAGCGCAGCATTTTTAATTTTAATGTGTTAATTTGATTGTTTTATAAAAAACAGGTGTAGCACAAACAAATAAATCGAAAATATGTATTTATTCAAAAATTAAAATAGAAAAAAATGCTCATCCATATGTAAATTACACAAAAAGACAACGACACAAACGCCTAAACACATGGTGACATACAGAAAGTATGCAAAAAAAATTGGTTTGCAGTTTTGTTTATTTTTTTTTTTATGCAACGGAAAATATATTGTTGCGTTTGCCACAAGTGTTGTGTTTTGGGTTACATTCTATTTTTTTGTTTTGTTGCTTTTAGTTCAAATGTTTATATCATTTTTACGACAATTAGTTAGACTTTTGTTTTTTAGTTGGCAGCTGAACGGTGTTAGGCAAATTGAAAAGTGTGGTTGTGGTCATAAATCTGACTGATGGGCATAGACATGGGCGTGGGCATGGGTCTGGGCTTGAATGCAAAACGACAAAAAAGCAGCCCGCTATTAATTTTATTGAAAAGGGTTTTTTGCGGCTCAGCGATCCACAGCGTCGCTGACCAGCGGTGGGTGCAGCTTCTGTAGTACGAGTATGTATGTACTATACAAGTATATGCGGAAAAAGCGAATAAAAATGGTAGCTGTACATAAATTTTATTTATGTGCTTTGTGTGTGCGGTTCTTTTGTGTGATTTATTTGTTTATGGCCATCATTTTGTTGCAATTTATGCCAATTTAGCAACGCAAAGCGAGCATGCCACCAGATATAACGAGCTGTTGTAGCCATTTGGTCAAGATAGAAACAAATAACTGGGCTTTGGCTTTGGCCCTGACCCAAGTCCAGGCACATCGGCAGGTTAAACGAAAAATGTGTAAATCAAATGTTTAGATTATGATATACGTTTTAGACTTGGCAACAACACTGGACACTGATGCAGAACTGAGGCTAAATAATTGTCTTCTACTTCCACAGCTTTTTAAAATAATGCGATTATTTCTATGTATTTTCTCACCTCCATACGTCTTTCTTGCATATTCCCTTATTACGATTGCTAGTATGCATCCTTGTATTCTTCTTTAATTCTTTATACTTTCTGTTATCCATTTTTTTGATGTGAATCTTTAATTTATGTTCATTGTATTTTCTTACATATTTCTTGTTGAAATTAGATATAATTTGGATAAGCTATGTATGTTTTCATCTCGCATTATTCTTGATGATTTTAATTTTTCTGATACTCTATGCTTACTCTTTTTATAACTCCATCTGTCAATATTCATTTGTATCTATTAATAATAATTTTTAAATCTCTCTTAGTGTACTTTTTTTTTAGTATATTTTGCTATTTCTATTCTTTTTCGTACTATACTTTCTCTGCTTCGTTTTCCATCCTTTTATTCTGTTATCCTTTTATATTGCTTTTTTATTATATAAAATCCTCTATCAAATTCGAATAATTTCAGGGAACTGAAACTTGTCTCGCTTCATTTAAGGTTTTTGTGTTTTTCTTTAAATTATTTATTCCATTGTTGATCTCTCCTTAGTATTTTTTCTTAATCCTATGTATGAAAATAAAATAGCAAATATTTTATTTTATATCTGTCCCCATATCTTCTTTTTACTAAAAAAACAACCTGAACTCCTTTTAGTTCTATATTTTTTCGTCTTCTTTATTTCTTTAATAATTTAAGTTTTATTTTTCTATTATTCTCTTATATTGCTGTCATTAATTATTGCATACCCAGCACCATTCTCAGATTTTCATCAGCGTCCAGTATATACATGTTTATGAATCAGCTTTGCCACAGCAGCTAATGTTTTATTAATTAATTTAAGTTCTACTTTTAGGTTGTTACGCTTTTAGGTTGTTTGTGAGTTAAGCATTTGCCTTAAATTACAAATTGCAATATGCTGTTTGCACTAAACAAAATACATAAAAAATATAGTGTTGAACAGCAAATGTTTAATATTGTTTTTTGGTTTTTTGGTTTTTCTTTCAAATATTGATCACACACATTTCGAGACAACACATATAGAGGAGCTCCAGAAGGAGGCGTCCCATATTAGACGCAATGCAAAGTAAAGTAAAAACAAAATAAAATAAATAAAAAACTGGATATACGAGTACGTAAATATGTTGGTGTTCAAAAGGGTCGCTCTTCACTTGACAAATTAGGAGAGTTAAGGAAACAATAAGCCTATTCGAAAATGCGAGACAAAGAAGACACACAAATGGTGCTAGACAATTTAAAGACGGGTACATGTCACTTACCAAATTTAACCACGCATTTGTGGTCAGAATCTGATTCTTTTCGTCCTATAAGAAACGCAAGCGTTATTATTCGAAACGGCAAAACGATTAAGTGATTGTTCAACAATTTTTATTTGTTGTTTTGTTTTGGTTTTTTCTGTTTTCTTTCTTTTTATATAAAACCGACGGCAATATTCAATCAGCGGCCATGAAAACTCAGTATAGCTTTGAAATATTTTCATTATTTTGCGATGGTTTCTCTTTTGTTTTTAAAATTGATTTGTTGTTGTTGTTGGTGGTGGTGTTTGGTTATTGTTAGATTGTTAGCTTGAACTTACCACATCGATGATTTGCTGCAACGTCAGTCCGAATTTAACCTCCAGTGGCTCCGATTCATTGGCAACGGGTCGCTCGAGTGTATTGTAGGTGGAGAGCAGGTGATTAAGTAAACGTTTTTCGTGTGGTCCCTGACAGCTTTCTGCAATGACAAGAGAGAGAGAGAGAGAGAGAGACGAGCAATTAGGTGGGCATCAAAACTGGACGGGAGCTCTAGTTCCTGATTTATGGCACATTCTACAATTAAACTAATAAGTGCGCGAGCGAGCGGTAGCAGGAGAAAGTGCTTTCCCAATTTGCCGAAATGGCACGCAGTTTGGCAGCTCATTAGGAAAAAGCTATTAAAAAATATGACTACGCGCCGCTCTGCCCTGATGAGTTTTGTGGCAGAGTCTGTTAATTGGTCAAAAGTGGCGAATGGGCGACGTGCACAACGAAACAAAATGGCGACCGCCAGGGCTGCACCACAAACAACATGGCCTGGGCAATGCCTTTTCAGAAAACTTGACAAATAAAAGAAGTAGTATTTAGTTGGTGTAAAAAGTATTAAAGAAATATAACGGCTTTCCACATTAGTTGACATTATTTTATTTGATAATAAGGCAAGATTTTTCTGCTTTACATACATTGCATTATTGTTATTATTTCATAGTCCCCGATTTGTTGTTAGGGCTCGATGCTAGAAGTTCAAGGGTTTTTAAGGATTCTACTTAGCTCACTAGTTTCGAAAAAAGTTTAGCTTTAGAGACGTCTTTATGTTCAAAATAAATGCGTTTTCGCAGGATTAAATGTTTTAGCTTAACAACTCTTACACGCAAAAAATAGGAATATTTTTTGGAAAGCTAAATATTAAGAGCAAAAATGTTCGGTTATAAAGATAAGCAGCTTAGGAATAGTTGTAAAATATTTCATCCTTAAACTGTCAATGGAGTTCAAAGAAATGCGCTTACAAACCAATTAGGAAATTCGGGAGAGAGGCGTGGGCAGCGCTCTGTTAACTAACAGCGGTCGCTAACAGCTGTTAGCCTCGGACAGCCTTGGCTGCAGTTAACAGCGCGCTGTCGCATAAACACAGCCTAACTAACTCTGGTTATTAATATTAATATTATTTATAAGTAACAACAATGTAAATAAACAAGTAAAATTTTAAAATGATTGGAAGATTCTACCATTTTACCATTAATATTTTAGCTGAGAATTAAGCTCATTAACTTTTTAAAAATATATAAAAAGAAGACTAACTTTTAATTTATATTTTGCTCAATTAACTCTAATTTCTAGTGTAGTCTTGTGTTTTCTAATTCTACGCTTTATAGTCTTTAACTAAACTTATACTAGTTTCATTGTTTTCGTTGCTTATAGTACTAAACTGACAACTAAACTCATTAATTAACTCATTGAATGAATAGTGTTTTTCCCCGGCAAAGGCGATTGTGTTTAGATACGTGTGGACGAGTTGTTGATTCATATTATCCACAATTAGGCAAAATATCTAGTCTAGTTTGTTGTCTCAGGACTCTTCTAGCTAACCTCATAGTTTTCTTTTAGCTTTCTGCCACTTCACTGAGCCCTCGTTTGGTCAAATATTGTCTAGCTTTTGAGAACACACATACACATAGCAAGAGGACAGGAGGACAACCAAAAATGACGGCCATAAAAGCACCTTAAGTGCTTTCAATTCCTTGCTGGCCGGAGCTAGAAGCGTGTTATAACAGACCGTAAAGCGGCAGTGACAAATATTTGAGATGAGCACAAAAACTTGGCAATTTACGAGCATGCGGCAATGCTGCCGAGTCACAACCACCGACGCCGCCAACGCCAACGCCAGCACCGCCACCACTGCCACACGTTCAAAATTGACAACTCAATTGTGAAAACTATTTGCACGCAATTAGGCGAAATGACGGCGGCAAGCAGAAGCTTTGGCCCACACACACTGTCTAAACTTTGTTAGCGCCGTCGTCGTCATCGTCATCGTTGTCGTCGTCGTCGTCGTCATTGTCGTCTAGTGTAATGGACACATAAAAAAGGCGTAACTCTGGCCAGGTGTAGTTACGGACACGTTCAACAAAAGACCAGCACGTGCAGCAGAATGTGGACGGAGACGCGTTTGTCAAACAAGCCGTGAAGAGTGAGCCAAGTTAGTGTCATGCCCAAGTGTAAATATTGACGAGTAGTGGCCAGAAGATGTACGAGTAGAGCGCGAGCAAGCTGCACAGTTCACACATTTTTTTTATATTTTTTTTTTGGCTTTTCTTTTCTTTTTTTTTTGACAAACTGTGCAAGAGCCTATTAATAAATGCATTAGGGACAAGGCACGCAAACGCAATCGAATTCATGTTGGAATTGCGTTTAAATTATGCAACTGTCAGACCATGAATTTCAAATGGCACTGGGAACTGACCACACTGTCAGTCACTCACACAGATGCAGCTATATAAGGAGTACATATGTGGGTATGTGTGTGTGTGTGTGTGCAAAGTAAGTACGTCCGGTTGTCCTGTCAAGGTGAGCGATTGTGTTTATTTCATGAGCGGCCACTTGTCCATCAGGGTGTCCTTTTGCATTTTCAGTTATTTTAGTGTACGTGTATATTTCAATATTTTGCCGTAGGTTTTATTTTACGAGAATTGAAAAAATAACTCTGGCAGCTAACTAATTTTGCTAATTTTTTAATTAATTTTAATTTAATTCAAAGCACAACAATATTGACCTTAACAAAACAATTTAACAATTTAAAGAAATAGCAAACTTGACAAAAAAAAAAACGTATGCATGAACATAATTTATTATAATATAAATCATCTAATTTATTATTTTATTGATTATAGTTGTTTATTGACATTTTTAAAATAATAGGTATCAAATGCATCCTTTTCGTTTTGAATGTCACAGAAAATATAACAAAATCAAAACTTTTAATTGGATTTCAAATCAAACTTAACAGCTCATAAGAATATAATATAGATTAATATAGAATTAAGACCGGTTCCCATCACTAAATTTAAGTTATTTCACATCTTAATGTGTTTGTTAACAAACAGAATTATATCAAAAGGCGTATTTAGGTTTATTTTGAGAACTTATGTGCATATGGGTCAAGGCTTAGAACTATTTATTTAATAAAATATAAATATAGTTGTTGCCAAAGTTATCAATAAATTGGCGAATTTTTTTAAAATATCGTCCGGCAACTTATTCGCCCTTGTCGCTGTTGTAGATCTCCCCTCTATTGCTGTAGACGATGAGAGGAATATGAACAGTGGGCTTAGAGTCTGAATACCCTAGTTGCTCGTCTTATAGTTGGTAAGCCTGCGAGATACTTGGCTTCTTGGTCTTGCTGGTGGACTTTGGCGTTTAGCAAGACCGCAGGGACATTGTCTTTTTTCAGCGTGTTGCCAAAATTCCTGCACTTCCTAATTCTTCCTGCGAATATTCCAGCTTCGAAACCAGCTCTCAAGCAGGTGTAGATACTCCTGCAACCAATTTGCTGCTTTATATATACATTTTTTATTATATTTGATTTTGCAAGAAACTTTAAGCGAATAATGTAACAATATTCGCATTAATCACAAACCAAACATAGCAAGCGCATGACTTTATCTAATTTTTAAGCTTTTATTTTTCTATCTACTTATTTATATGTTATCTGCAATTTTCAGCTCACCCTGTTTGCTTTCCCCATTTGTTAACTGCAGCTGTAGATTGGCTTTTGTCTCAGTTGCAACTAACAAGGTGCGCTAATAAGTAGCCTCCTTCTTACACATGTACTCGTATGTGTGTGTATAGATGTGTGTTTATCTATTCTATGTACGAGTTTGTGCTATATATTACTCAATTTATTTGTATTGTTCGCTAGTTGGCTGACCTACTTACTATACATTTACACGGCTCTGATCAATTCGGCCTTGAGCGCAGTAACAACTTCTGCAGCAAGCAAGTTGCAGTATTCGTAGTCCTTGCCGCCTGGCTTCAATTCAGTTGACATTTGCCGCTAACGCTACCGCTTTCCCTATGGCCCCTGGCCCCTGCCCTTCCCTCCGCCCACTCCCATCTAGCTAGCATTCTCTCGAGCCATTGAGCGTGGGACTGAGTTTGCATGATTTAAACAATTTAACTTGTCGGTGTGTGTTGCACTGCATTTGCGTCCTTTTGTTTATGACATTTGGGCTGTGATTTCGCCTTTTTGCACCTTTTATGCTGAGTGCTCGGTTCGGGTCCGCTCTGCTCTGTTACTGCTGCTTCTGCTTCTCAAAAATTTATGAGTTTTTTAACCTTGACGCAAATGGCAGAGGGCCAGCCCATCAGCAAAGGTACAAGCATGGCATAACAACAAAAAAAGAAAAGGGAAGAGCATAACAATAGTATGTACCTTTGCGTAAATTGTTAATTGCCATTGTATTTGTATTGCCGTATGGGGGAGCGAATGTTTTAAAAGCCAATGTGGCGTATGCGCAATTTGGTTATCAATCTACCATCATGAAGTTGAGCAGAAAAAGTTGCCACGCATTCGGCATATCAGCTCATATTTTAATAAACGCGCATCGAAGCTGCAGGTTTTTAAAAAATACAAATTAATAAATGTTCTCTCTGCTTCAGTTCACTTTTTTTTGTTTTCATTTACAGCTGCAGTCGTTGACAACTCTTTTCCAACATATATATTAACGATTTAATAACGATTTCCCGATTCGGTAAGTCACGAATTTATTTATTTGAAAAATATGACTTTTTGATGAAAACAAATATCAATTAATAACTATTTTTTACTGTACTGTCTACAAAAAATACCATTTATTAAAATATATGGTCAGTATATAAAAAACTGACTAAAAAATATATTAAAGTGCTCAATTAGGAATGCATATTTACTTATATTAAATCATCGTACAAAGACGGCAAATATTGGGAACTACGATATTTGTAAATGAATATCGTTGTTTTTTAGAAATCATATTTATTATTATTATTCCTTGTATCGAAAAAGTAAATGGCTTAATAGTTTAGTTTGAATTACAAGCAATACAGAGAAAGAGGCGTGACTGACCACCCACGGTATATAAGGTTTACTCTTAATCAGTATGATAAGAAGAGTCTCTATATTTTCATGTCCGTCTGTGCATCTACTTATATGAACGGTAAGTA